AAAGAAGACAAGACAAATATTTCTGCAGAGTTTCTCTCTGCCCACAAACTGTGGAAAACTTTCTTAATCACTTGCAACTGCAAATTCTGTGATTACAATGAATTGACTTACTTGACTTACATTGAAAAATAGGGGTTACTCTCTCTATTTATAACTGAGCTTACACCCTAAGCCCAAAATCCAAAATATCTTTTTGTTACTAAATCAAATCAAATCAAATATATTCTTGACTTAAATCAAATCTATTTAAATCTAAAATAAATCAAATCTTCTTTGACACTATGAATTACAATTTAACACACCACCTAATTCATTGTGTCTAAATTGTCTATGTTCATCATGGCTCTTAGCTTTCTGAATACTTCGACTTGCACTCCCTTCGTCATGATGTCTGCAATCTGATTCTCAGTTCTGTAGTGTTCCAAATTCATCTTCCCATCTGCTACCTGCTCTCGAAGATAATGGAATCTCATTTCGATGTGCTTACTTCGACCATGTGCTATTGGGTTCTTTGCCAGATTAATAGTTGACATGCTGTCTATCTTCATGGTAATTGCTCCATGATTTTTCCCTGTTATCTCTTCGACCAAGTTCACCATCTAAGTTGCTTGACATGCACAAAGAGAAGAGGCTATGTATTCTGCTTCGCATGATGATAATGCCACTAGAGGTTCCTTTATTGAATTCCAAGCAATTGGTGCACCACCTAGCATAAACACATATCCTGCTGTTGACTTTCGATCTTCAGAATCACTACACCAACTTGAATCAGTGTATCCCACTAACTTGCATTCTTTCCTTTATCAATTGCAGGAAACAAAATGCCATAATTGAAAGTTCCTTTGAGATACCTTAGTATCCTCTTCACTGCTGCTAGATGTGATACCTTTGGCTTCTGCATAAATCTACTTACCATACCTACACTGTATGCTAAGTCAGGCCTTGTATGACAAAGATATCTTAATGATCCAATAAGTCTTCTGTATTGGATTGGATCAACATCATCTTCATTTGCATCTTTCGACAGTTGCAGTCTTGGTTCTGCAGGTGTCGAAGTTGAGTTGCATTCTTCCATCTCAAACCTCTTGAGAATTTCTCCTGCATATCTTCTTTGATGCATCATCAAACCTCTACTGCTCTTGTAGAATTCGATACCAAGGAAATATGAAATCTCACCCAAATCAGACATTTCGAATTCCTTGCTGAGATCACCTTTGAAGTCTTCGATCTCACTTTTACAGCTACCTGTTATCAACAAATCATCTACATAGAGACATAGTATAAGCAATTTACTCTTGCTTCTTCTTACATATACTCCATGTTCAGTTGTGCACTTCATAAATTCCTTCTCCCTTAGAAAACTATCAATTTTCTTATTCCAAGCCCTTGGAGCTTGTTTCAATCCATACAGGGCTTTATGTAGCCTGTACACCTTTCTTTCTTCGTCATGTTTCACAAACCCAACTGGTTGTTTAACATAGACTTCTTCATCTAAGGGTCCATTTAGGAATGCACACTTCACGTCCATCTGACATATGTGTCAACTGTTTATTTCTGCTAGACCAACAACCAACCTGATTGTTTCGATCCTAGCAACAGGTGCAAAAACTTCGTCGAAGTCTATTCCTTCTTTCTGTAGAAATCCTTTCGCCACAAGTCTTGCTTTGTGTCGAGTTACTTCACCTTTCGAATCCGTTTTCACTTTGTATACCCACTTGACATCAATTGCCTTCTTGCCTTGAGGCAATTCGACAAGTGACCAAGTGTTGTTGTCTTCGATAGACTTTACTTCTTCGTTCATTGCTTTCACCCACTTCGAATCTTTTAATGCTTCAGCTGCATTAACAGGTTCGACATCTGCATAGAAAGCATAATGTACCAGCTCACCTTCATTATCTATTACATCATCTGATGTAATCACACAATCTTGCAATCTTGCAGGCATGCGTCTTGTTCTTTGAGGTCTTCTTGTACTTGGTATATCTGCTGGTTCCTCTTGTCGAACTTCTCTTTCGACTTGAGTTTCTGGCTCTTCGAATAGGATTCCCACTGAATCTTTCTTGACATTTGCAGTCCAATCCCATTCTTTAAACTCATCTATGATCACGTCCCTGCTAATCACAATCTTCTTATTCTCTGGATCGAACAACTTGTAGCCTCCTGTCGAATGATATCCAACTAGGATCATTTGACTTGACTTGTCATCAAGTTTTCTTCTCAACTAATCTGGCACATGTCTATGTGCAATAGATCCAAATACCTTCAAATGACTCAAGCTAGGCTTCACACCAGACCAACATTCTTCTGGAGTAATTCCTTCTAGCTTCTTTGTAGGACATCTGTTCAAAATATATGTTGCAGTTGAAACAGCTTCACCCCAAAACTCTTTAGGTAAACTCTTGCCTTTCAACATACTTCTCACCATATTCATGATGGTTCGATTTTTCCTTTCTGCAATTCCATTTTGTTGTGGAGTATAGGGTGGCACCACCTCATGCACAATCCCTTCCTTTTCACATAATCTGTCGAAGTCTTTCGACACATATTCTCCACCACCATCAGTTCTCAAAACTTTGAGCTTTTGACCACTTTGTCTTTCGACCATAGACTTAAACCTGGTAAATACTTCGATCACTTCACTTTTCTTCTTGATCAGGTAAGTCCATAGCTTTCGACTGAAATCATCTATAAATGTAACAAAGTATTTGTTACCTCCCATCGAATCCACCTGGATTGGTCCACATACATCAGATTATATGACTTCAAGACTAGCCTTCGATCTGCTTCCTGCATCCTTGCTGAAGCTATTCTTGTGTTGCTTCGCCTGCACACATTCCTCACATACCTCGTTTGGAATGTCAATTTCTGGCAATCCTGAAACCATATTTCTTCTCTTCAAATCTCTGATGTCTCTGAAGTTGAGATGACCTAGTCTATAATGCCATATCCATTCATCTCTGCTAGCTGCAGTCGAAAGACACTTGTGCTCCATCACATTTAGTTCAATCTTGAAGGTTCGATTCTGAGACATAGGAGCCTTCAAGATTACTCTCCCATTTGCATCAACGACTCTCATCAACTTATCTTCGATTGACACTTTATAATTCTTTTCGACCAACTGCCCTATACTGAGCAAATTGCTCTTCATGCCTGGTATGTACAACACATTGGAGATTACTGACCTTTTGCCATCTTTCCTCATAATCATAACATCACCAATACCTTCAGCTGCCAGGGTATTGTCATTTGCAAATTTTACCATATTTTTCTTTGAGGGCTTTATATTGACAAACCAGTCTTTCCTTCCAGACATATGTGATGAACATCCTGAATCTAAGTACCATTGGTCCTTGAATCTATCTTCATCTTTTGTTGTGACCATCAACATCATCTCTTCTTCTTCATGTTTTGCAAGCTTTGCATCACTTTCTTGATTCTTTCGTTTTTCTGGACAATCACTCGAATAGTGTCCATATTTCTGACAATTGTAACATTGAATGTGACTCTTATCAGGTTTTCGACCACCACCTCTTCCTCTATTTGCAACACCACCTCTTTGGTTGCCTTGGTATGGTCTTCTTTGATTTGACATGTCTCCTTCGATTTGGTTTCCTCTACCATTCGATTTGTTGTAGCCACCTCTACCTCTGTCGAAATACTTTTCTTTGCTTTTGGTCTATTTTGCTGAATGTGCCTGCAAGGCCACATCACTCTTCGATTTTTCTGCAGCTCTTTCGTTCATTCTTTGTTCATGAGATTCAAGCGTCCCTTGAAGCTCTTCCTTTGTCAATTTCGACAAGTCTTTCCCCTCTTCTATCGCCACCACTATGTGGTCGAACTTAGGAGCTAAAGATCTCAAGATCTTCGACATAACAGCTCTTGTTGTTAACGCTTCTCCACATATCTTGATTTGATTTACTAGTTTTGTAACTCTAGTGAAGAAATCATATATGTTTTCACTGTCTTCCATCTGAAGCAGTTCATAGGTCCTTTTGTGAGTTTGTAACCTCACTTCTTTCACCTTCTCAGTGCCTCCAAAAGACTTCTCAAGGATCTCCCAAGCTTCTTTTGCAGATTCTGAATCACTAACCTTTTCGAAATTGTCTGGGCTGACACATTGATGAATTATAAATAATGCTTTATAACTCAGCTTCTCAGATTCTGTGTATTTCTTCTTTTCTTCTTCTGAAGCGTTTTCGCGAAGCACTTCGACTCCATCTTTTACAAGGTCCCAAAGACCTTGACACCTGAATAAGACTTTCATCTGTTTGCACCAATTCTCATAGTTGTCAACTTTCAGAATTGGTAGCGTTGCTGGATAGTTTGCATTCCCATAACTTGTCATCGTGAATTCTTCAATCGTTCTTGATTGACACTTCCCTTGGATCGAAACAAAAGCTCTTGATACCAGATGTTGGAAATCCACCAAATTCTATGATGAATTGCTACCACAATGACAATTTAATTATGAGACAAACAAAGAAAAGAAGACAAGACAAATATTTCTGCAGAGTTTCTCTCTGCCCACAAACTGTGGAAAACTTTCTTAATCACTTGCAACTGCAAATTCTGTGATTACAATGAATTGACTTACTTGACTTACATTGAAAAATAGGGGTTACTCCCTCTATTTATAACTGAGCTTACACCATAAGCCCAAAACCCAAAATATCTTTTTGTTACTAAATCAAATCAAATCAAATTTATTCTGGACTTAAATCAAATCTATTTAAATATAAAATAAATTAAATCTTCTTTGACACTATGAATTACAATTTAACAACTCACTCTATATATATGACAAGGGAAAATAGATATTAACTCTTTTTTTAATAAATCTGAAAGAACTTGTTTTAGGTTATAATTATAATGAGAGGGAGTATATAATATCGACTGGCAAAGGATATTTTGGTGCATATTAATAATGTTTAAAAAAATGTTGAGAGTTGAGAGTTGAGAGTAGCGTAGTGTTGGCAATTGAAGTTAGTTTCTGGATAATAATGTTGATAAGTGTAACAGAAGCGTCCCCTTCTCTCCGCTGTTGTTCGCTCAGTAACCGTCGCATACCAACAAAACCCAATCTTTCTCCCCGTCTCCTCCGTTCAACTTCCCGTCAACACAATCTCTCTCTCCGTCTCCGTTCATCATCATCCTCCAATCTCTCTACCAGGTAACCATTTCTTTTCATCCATTTTAGACCAAACAACAATGCAATCTCTCTAATATGTTTCAAATTCCATGCAGCTGTGACCTAGCGAACTTCGATCCTTTAGGCATTAATCCAGATTTATCTTCTACTTGGAAAAATCTCCTCACCGTCTTTCAAACCTCTTCGGAAAAGGATAAACCTCGGGGCGTAGCGGGTTTGTTTTATTCCGATTCCGATTATATGTTTTTTTCTTTCTAAAATTTCCAACAACTCATTCTTATGTATTTCCACATTTCCAAACTCTCAGCTGCAATTGAAGATAGTTCAATTGATTTTGGGGACTTCTTCAATGGTCCACTGCCTGGTAAGTTTCTCAAGCTTTTAGGGTTTCTTGCATTGTCAAGGCTCGGTGTGTATATACCTCTAGGTGGAGTTAATAGGGACGCTTTTCTCGGAAATTTGGATCAGAACTCTTTGTTAACTACTTTGGATTCATTTTCTGGTGGAGGTATTGGTAGACTTGGTATATGCTCTCTTGGCATTGTTCCATTCATCAATGCGCAGATTGTTTTTCAGCTTCTTGCTCAAGTGTATCCCAAATTGCAAGATCTTCAGAAGAAAGAAGGTGAGGCTGGAAGAAAGAAAATTCTTCAGTACACTCGATATGCTTCCGTTGGATTTGCTATTGTACAGGCTATCGGGCAAGTTCTTTTCCTACGTCCCTATGCAAATGATTTTACAACAGAATGGGCCATTACTTCTGTTATCTTACTCACACTTGGCTCTGTCTTTACCACGTACATCGGGGAGCAAATTACCGAGCTCAAACTTGGGAATGGTACCTCTCTTTTGATATTCACAAACATTATCTCCTATTTGCCGGCTTCTTTTGGTCGCACGTTTTCACAGGCGTTTAGTGATGCTAACTATGTTGGACTTGTTACCATCATTCTCTCCTTCTTTCTGTTGGTACTTGGTATTGTCTATGTTCAGGTATATCTTATTTCAGTTATTGAATATACACTACGCTGATAAACAAGTATTTTAGAAAGCTGAGAAATCTTGGTTTCAATAATGACTTTCAGGAAGCAGAGAGAAAAATTCCTATTAATTATGCTTCTAGATTCACCAGCAGAAGCGGTGGACTTGAGAAATCTGCTTACCTTCCGTTTAAGGTCCTCTTTTACCTACCTTTTTGTACAATATACTTAATACTATTTGATGTGCTTGTGCATTTGATTATCCATAAAGTTTTTCTGAAGTTCTAAATTTGAGAATGTACATCTTCTAATTTGGCAGGTAAATAGTTCTGGAGTAATGCCTATCATTTTTTCTACGTCGTCATTAGCTCTTCCTGGTACTTTAGCTCGCTTCACTGGTTTAAGCTCACTAAAAACTGCTGCAGTGGCTTTGAATCCTGGAGGTATGTGGTTGATTTATTTCTGGATTTTTAATAACAAAATACTTCAGGTACTGACATTTGGTGTTAATCATTTTGCACGTGATGCTCTATCAAACTGTGATCTTAAGAAAATAAACTGCTAAGAAATGATTGAAGAAATATAGGCCTTTCTGTCACAATCAGTGTTATCGATGGCGGTCCATGGCAGAGCCAAAACTCCGACATATGGGGTTGCCATATCTGCGTTTGGCTCTGTGGCACTGCCATCCTTCACAATTCGGCCATGGCGGTGAGACAAAAAAACCGCCACCGATATCTGTCATTGCTGATGTTTTACAAAACTGGTTGCAATACATTATGGAAATGGAATGTTACATTCTTTGTAGCCCTTAAACTTTTGTTTCTTCAATAGTTGATTCCTTTTACTTAAACGGATATTTTTTTGTAGGCTCCTTCTATCTTCCATTTAACATACTTTTGATAGCCTTCTTCAACTACTATTATACTTTCCTACAACTGGATCCTGATGATGTGAGCGAACAATTGAAACGTCAAGGTGCTTCAATTCCACTTGTCAGACCAGGCAAAAGTACAGCTACATTTATTAAAACTGTAATTTTCTTATCTCTCTAGCCTTGCACTCCATGATTTCCTTACCGTTTTTATCATGTCTTTATATTGGAAGTTTATGTTGATCACTGACATGTTTTATCCTGAAACCGGTCATGCTAGTTAGAGAACTATTGGATACATTCATTTTACACTGCTTAATATAAAATATAATATACTGTGCAGGTTCTTAGTCGAATATCAGTCCTGGGCTCAACATTTTTGGCAATCTTGGCTGCTGGACCTGCAGTTGTTGAGCAGACGGCACACTTGACTGCATTCCAGGGATTTGCTGGAACTTCTATTCTTATTCTTGTTGGTTGTGCAACAGACACAGCAAGAAAAGTTCGAGCTGAGATTATATCCCAGAAGTACAAAAACATAGAGTTATATGATTTTGATAAGTATTGACCATTAATCAATTGGTTGTTTCCTTTGTCTACACACTACTATATCATTTTATATTGACCTGTATATAATTTTGCATAGCAGTTTTTTTTATCTATCTGTAATATAAAGATTAATTTGAATACATCCAATTGCTTGTGTAGAACTAGTTTAATCAACCATTGGAACTAATTGATATATATGGGCAAGTTGTGGCCCGCTGTTCGATGACGTGGAAGATGTTTGGTAGGAAAAATTTACAAAGTCATTTGACTATACTCCCTCCGTCTATTTAATCACAAATAAATTATAAATAATCATTTTTTATTTAGGTGTCATCTGGATTTAGAGTTGATAACGTTTAATTTAGGTTTCTGTACTGGTAAATTGGGTTGAGAATCTTTGGGAATTCATTGGAGAAACCATAGGGTTTGTCAATCAAGATCAAGGTGTTGGAGAGTTTTGTACAAGATTTTGCAATTTGAATTTAGTTGAGTGAAAGTTTTGAAGAACGGTGGGTTCAGTCGAAGGAGTAACGACAACCAGAGGATCGATGGAAAATCTTGGTTGATAATAATTTGTAATTTAGATTCGGCCAAGTGAAAGCTTTGAAGAATGAGATTTCTTGCAAAGGAGTAACGTGAGACGGTGGATCAAATTGGCATTGTTGGGTGACTTGATCGAACTCAAGATCAAGGGAAGAGAAAGAGTTAGGATCAATATCAAACATATGGTTTGTAGGATTGAATTTCTACTTATCTCTTTTAAGCAATTTTTGCAAAGTAAGATTGATTATCTCAATTCTGAATGGAATTAGGGATAGACGTAGTCATATCAAGGACGATTGATGAACTGCCTAAACAAATCTTCGTGTACTCTCTCTCTCTCTCTCTCTCTCTCATTTACTTTCAATTGCAAATTATTAAATCCGTTGATTGTGCAATTGACACGTTTAGAGTAAACCTTTGGTAAATTCAAAATTGTTTTGTTGAGTTGATTACAATCTATAATTAGTTTTTGAAATCAACAAAACATTAAGAAAAATCTTACAAACATCAATTGCACACCAAGTGTTTGATTATTTGTCTTTTAGTGTTTGTTATTTTAGGTTTCATTGGAAACATGTTACTATTGTGTTTATATTCAAATGTGTTGTTTGTTGAAATATATTGTCTCTGTTGCTTATCATTATCATCACATATAATATTGGTTTAACGCATATCTGAGCTTTTCGATAACGGTTCAGATTAGACGATATTTGATTCAGGTGTTTTCCACTTTCTATAGTTAACAAAATTTTCAAAACTAATATTTTAAAAGAATTTTTTTAACTTGGGATCTATTCACCCCCTCTAGATAAGTTGTCTTCGTCTAACACCTAGCAATATGTTCGACTATGGATTCGATAGTGTCGCCAATAAATTTGGTGAATTTTGGAACTTTCCAACCCATGGACAGTTTAGTTTGTTGTACGTATTCTGACAACGGCGATACATAATTGGGCCTATGGAGGCCTACGTTGAGGCCATTATGTGCCATCATTTTCTCGACTACGTTATTTATATTGTTTTGCCTCCAAAATAGTTTTGTTGGACATTCCTCAGTACTTGATCAATGTCTTGGCCTCGTGAGACTATAACCACTTCAGGGCCATTTCGCCCATTATTATATCCGACTACTCATATTGTGTGTGGATCGACGTGAATATGATTGTTAGGCACTGGAATAACTGGTGCTTGAGGCACACCAAAAAGTCAGTGATCCTACCCATTTTATGGGCCAATTATTGATAACTCTGGTTTGTGTTTTGAATTAATGGGTTAAAAATAGTACCTATTTTTTATTAGGCATGTTAACCATCTCAAGGTTACTCTTATCCATCCGCAGTCTTACATACTAAAGAGAGGTATTGGTTAAGGATAACATGCTTGGAGAAAAGTATCTTAATGCCCAACGGCTCCATATCAAAAATTTCCTTTTTGGGCATTATAATATTTTATATTTAAGCATCTAATCGATTTGGCAAATCGATTAAATAATTAATTCAGTCCATTGATCGTTTCCTTTTTTGGTGATTCTAACTACTATATAAAGGGAGGTCTCCCTCACTTGAAATCACGCCACTTTTCAACATTTTTTTAATATTTGTTTATAATCTATCTCTCTAAGCTCTCTCCTTCTCTCTCTAGAAATATTTATTTCTTCACTTTTGGTTGCCTTAGTATTTTAGAGTGAGACTTTATTTTTGAGGAGAAGATTATTTTTGTAAGTGGTCGTGTTGGTTGTTTATAGTCTTAAGAGTGTGATACCTTTAAGAGATTGAGTTTTGGTTCTTGAGATAAATTATAAATCTATATTATTGATTTATTAAGCTTAGCCAGTAACAATATTTGTTCTTGGTTACAGAGATCAACCATAAATCTCTAAATAGTTTCATTAGAATAAGTTGGATTAAGAATAAGCTTGTTTAAAGTCAAAAGTTCATATCGTATTAAGGTTCGTGGGCATAATTGATAAAATCTCACAAGTTTATAGTGAAAAATTTTCAAGAAGAACTCTTGAGGACAAGACTAGGTCAACGTTCAGCCAAACCTAGATAACTCTCTGGTGAAATCTTTCTATCCTTACTCTCTTTAATTTTCTGCAACATATTTTATTTACTTTAATTTGTTATGTTTTATTAGTCAAGAATATTACTAACACAATCTTAATTGAGAAAGGGAAAAAATCCACACTTTTCAAAAAGAAGAATACACCCCTCATGTGCTATAGGTCACTTGTTAAACCAAGGTTTACAGAAGAAAAAGGGTTTTTAGTTGCTTTCTCTGGTTTGTTTTTTCAGTAAAGGAAGTGTGTGAAGAAGAAGAAATTGGAGGAAGAAAGAGTTTAAATAAGCCAAACAAGAAGAAGAAATATTATCCCTCTAAAACATGGACAAGTGGCGTGTTGTGAGCTGACAGTTAGCGTCAAATCATGGGGAAAGATGAAAATGATGTGATTTAAATGATTTTTATTTTTCTCATTTATGTTGGTGGTTAATTAATGCTCTTGGAAATAGGGGATAATTATGGTCATCTGTTTGCATGTTGTAATGTGATGGTTTGGTAAAAAGTTAATCATGATGGCTAAGAAACGTCCCATCTGTGTGACGTAATGAGACTATAGGAAACAATGTCGAGGTAGTTACAAAAATGCCATTATTCTTCCATATGACACGCGATCGAAAGTAGCATTTTTAGGGGCATCTGTTAGCCAGGAAATTCCGGCTAAGGGGATTTATAAAGAATGATGTGTTAAGTGTTAACGGTTGGCTGGGCAGCAGACGCAGTTTCGCACACCCCGAAGACTGACTGCTAGAGTTTCTACTACTGAGGAGGTATAAGAATTTCTGAGCATGCCGTATACAGGATATGATAGGATGAGGTATATATTTTGTTTTATTTTATTGCAAAATTTTGAGCAATGGAAGGGAAAACAAGCCCTTCAAGAAGGTGTAATGGAGTACACGAGAAGGCTTGACGCCCTGACCATAGAGGATATCATCTAGACACCATATACATATCACCGGTCTTATCATGCATTTGACGTCGTGTTTACCGTGGTTTTTGGTAAACAACCGCAGATCCTCCAAAAAGGAAAGTCCTTTTGGTTACTCGCGGGATCGATCAGATTGATCTCAGAACATATGCTAATTTTTATACTGGGTTGATGTAAGTAAGAAAAGGAATCCAGGAAGAACGCATGTTCGACCAAAGACAAGATACTTGTGGTTTTGGAAAGTAAGAAAGTAAATAGAAATGTAGAAATGCAGGTAAAGGTGCAGGAAAAGTAACTTTGCAGAATAAGATCAAAGCAATGTAAAAGACTTTTATTAATGAAAAGAGGTGTTTCCAACGTACATTTCTCAGTTTATCGTTTCTCACACAGCGGGTACTTGGACAATATTTGAGTAACTAGCACAATAGGGTGAACACCCAGAAAAACTACACAGATTTCCTATTTTATACTGAAAACTATGTAATCGTCAAGGGGTGGTTCTGTGCTAAGATGAGGACAAGTGTCCTTTGCATGTCCCTCGACCTCTAGCTTCCAGCCATGTTGCTCTCCTTTAGCCACTGGTGAAACTGTCTTTCCCTCCAATAATTCAAATTCAAATATTCCTCCCCTTTTGTGTCGACGCGAGGATATTCTCTTCTAGTCGAAGGCCATAAGACCTTCTCAGTCGAAATCTTGAAAGTGAGTCTTGGTCGAAGACTCAAATATAACTTAGATATTTTCTCTAAGTCATTTCACACGTCGAAACATTCTTCAGCTTGGTTATATTTATTCCAGTTTTGGTCTAAAAGACCAAATATAGTAGGTGTCGAATTCAGGACCCAACAAATTGCCCCCCAAGAATGTCTATTTCGACGCTAAAAGAAATAGCCATTCTTTGATCTTTTCGTTCGACACCTGTCTCTCTTGTTGTCCACAAAGGCTTGACGTGCGCTTTTCGTCTTTCGACAGCTGCTACTTTCGAAAAACCATCATTACTTTTTCTCCAAGATGTCTTTTCCAACTGCCGTTACCATGCTGCCATGATGACCATATTCCTAGAACCTAGGCAAGCATGTCAAAATGTTTCCCATCATCTGCACGGTAACCGTTTCATGCTTCGCCATGTTCCCCACTATCTTCACAGCATTAAATGGCTTTGACGAGACATATCCCTTTCTGAAGACTATAAATACCCTTGAGCCTTTTCATTTGGAACTTTCACAACTCTAAGTATTTCCAAGTCTTCTGCTTAAACCACCTTGCGTTGTCAACTTCGCTTCTTTCAAATATGCAAAAATGGCTTTCCTTTCCAATGCACCAAACAATCCCAAACCTAAAAATGCTGACGATATCCAAAGCCAACCAGAGATCTTTCCTACTAACCCTTCTCCTTCCTCGACTGATAGGCTACGGTTCGTTTCTGAACCCATGACGAGGGAAAGGCGAGAAGCATATGATTCCCAGCTCCTCATTCCCATTAGGTACTC